GCAGCTGCCCAACCACCCACGTCCCTCATCTTCTGATTCTGCTGTATAAAAGTCCTTCCTCTTTTTTGATGGAGTTCATCTCCCAACCCAGGTATCATCCATGCTGTTCCACCTTCCCCTGTCCCTAGCAATCAGCTTCCAGCTCATACCACCACCAAACCCACAAAGACACCATCTGTTGCTTCCAGCCAGTGCCAAGTGTCCTCTCCTCTGAATTCCTCTGACATGCTATGGTTCAACTTCTGCTTTGTCATCTAGTTGGAAAGCTCACCAAGGTACCTTGTGCAGTTTAAGGGACAGGATGAGTTCATAGTCAGAACTTGCTGCTAAGCTGAAACTCGAAGTCCCATTTCCTCAGAGAGTTTGAGTGTGGACAAAAGAGCTAAGAGCTACATGTGACCTGTTAGACCCTTGCCATGTGCCAGGCACACTTGGGAATTTTGTAACCAACTTAAACCATTGTTACCAGTCACAGTGGCTCAAGCTTGTAATACCAGCACTTGGAAGGTCAAAACTGATGTGAGTTTGAGTTATCCTGGGCTATAAAGTGGATTATATGCCAGCCAGAGCACAGAGTGAGATCCTTTCTCAAAAAATAAAAAAACTTAAAAACCAAAAACTTTTAAAACAGAAACAGTTGGGGCTGGAGAGATGGCTCAGTGGTTAAGAGCATTGGCTGTTCTTGTGGAAGACCTGAGTTCAAATCCTAGCACCCACATGTTGGTTAACAACCTTCTATATCTTCAGTTACAGGGGACCTGACACCCTCTTCTGTCCTCCTTGGGCATTGCATGACATGGGTACACATACACATACAGGCATAACACTCACACACACAAAAAAATATAAATAAATACTTTCCCTGAGAACTTGACTCAGATCTCCCTGCCCATGACCCTGGCCTCACTGAGAGTTTCTGTGTCTCTGCCCTGGATAACAGAAGCTCAGAGTCAACAAGGTATCTGACCACAGCTCAAGAGGGCCGGCTCCTTGGATGTGCTATCCTCTGCTCCTCCTGGGTCCTCAGTGCTGGTGTGTGACTCCCAGATGTCAAATCATGCAAATGCCTGCACCCCAAATTCCCTGTGCAGAAAGGCAAGGTACAAATGAACTCGTACCCTGGATGAATGTCACCCTGGGATGAAGTACAGCATTCTCTGTGGGTTTATTTTTTTCCCACATGTGTACATTAGTTACAAATTCAGCCCAGTGTGGGTTTTACTGAATTATCTTTCTTCCCTGTCTTCATTGTTCAACTAAAGACACATTCATTTACATACCATCACATCTAACAAATACACACACAGCGACACACACCCCACCCAGTGATGTTCTCAGCAGCGCGAGCAGCCCACTCATGATCCCTGCTTGAATGCCAACTTGAACATGGATCTCTCCTCCACAGTCCAGTGCAAGAACCTTGACTGGCCGCTACAAGCCTTCAAACATCGCTTTCCTCTTTGGGAAGCAGTGATGAGCCACCTAGGCTGCCTTCCTCTCCTCTGTTCTGAGAACCATGTGGCAGATAATGGAAGTCACACAATTACAAGAGCACATGGCCAGCACTAACGAGGTCCCATTGTCAGTAACAGGAACATGGTGCTGGGTTCCTGGACTCCGGCACACACACAGCGTTGAGCAAGCCTCCCCTTTTCCGTGGCTCTTTTGAGAGCTCAGCTTCTGCAAGGCCAGAAAGCCCTGTGCCTTTGTTTGCTCAGAGCCACACCCAGGATGCAATTTGCTAAACACAGTGGGCACCTATAAACAGCTTCAGCTAAGTTAATCTCCCACTGTGTCATTCATCTCAGAAAAAGTCAGCCATAACAGAGCTTCATGTATATTTTAAACAGCCCTCGGAGGGCAGGGGCTGGGTGTGTGTTCTCCATCCTCTTCCTCCATCAGGTCTGCAATGATCTCAGCAAGGGTTGGGACGCAGAACAGGGGAGAGACTCCACACCAAAGCCAACTAGAGTAGAGCATTTTCTAGATTCAGCCTCCCTAAGTCTGTCCATGAGGCACCTGGCCTGGATGGATCTTCTGCTCCAGGTTCTGGTGCTCACCTCTGAGTTCCCTGCTCAAGTTAGTATCTCCATATCCATGGGTGTCTCCCCACCACAGAGATTCGGGGGCCCATGGGGCAACCTAACACCAAGCAGGAAGGATCTAGGGCCACAGCCATGCTCTGCTGGCCTCTGCCTAGTGCATCTTGAGCCTTTTCCACAGCCCCAGACCTCTCCTCAGGCTGCCTGAAGCACCTTCACCTTCTCCCAAGGTGCAGAGAAGTCACGCCAGAGGGAGCTGAGGCAGGACTCTGCAAGGCCGGCTCTCCTTCTGTCTCTCCAGCAAGCCATGTTCTTCAACTTGTCCTCCACACACCCTCCAGCCTCCAGGGGTAGTGGAAAGTCCCTGCTCATGTCTCCTGGAGGTCCCTTACTCCCCCTTACTATACCCACCATCCTTTATGGCCATTTCTGGCTTAGATGTCAATTGTTGATAACAATGGGAGGCCAAGGCCACCCCCTTCCCCTCCTCTGTGCCCAGTCTTGACCTAGTGCTTACTATTACAAAGTTATCCTGTGACTGCTGGGGAACAGGTAAGAGCAGCAGCCTTGGGACTGGAGAGATGGCTTACCTTAAGAGTACTGGCTGCTCTTACAGGGGACCCAAGTTCCATTCCCAGCACCCGCAATTGTAGCTAACAATCATCTCTAACTCCAGTTCCAGGGGATCCAACACCTTCTTTGGGCCCCAGCACACAGTGCACACACAGCTACACTTACATGCAGGCTAAGCACCCGTACGCATAAAGTAAAAATAAATTTTTAAAAAGCCACAGTGGCATTTAAGGAAAGAATCTGGTCCCTGTCACCGTATGTTCATTATTAGAAAAAGGTCCTCAAGCAGTGGATAGGCTTACACAGAAATGCCAAGCATGGCTTAAAACCACAATCTTTGTGGCTAGGGTGAACAAGGTGGGTCAAAGGAATACATGTGCCTTCTCGGGGGCCTCTTTCTGGGAATGAGCCATTCTTTCTCCATCTCTCCTCCTCTTGTCCACAGAAGCCACCTCCTGAGGTTGGTGGAGCATCAGAGCATCCCTGTGACTGTCCCACAGGTTGACCACCTGCTTTCCATAAAGGACTAAAGCAGATGAGCCAGCAGTCCCAACCCTTCTACCATCAAGTGTGCCAACACACTTAACCACTCTCCCAGGGTGGCCAGGGATGCTCATGAGTCTTGTGGGGGAGCCACGGTGGATATCTGAGCACTGGGGTTCAGAAAGTCAGCACAGCAGGATGCATGCCACAGCCATCTGGTGTAAAAGGCTGCACCCTTCTCCACTGCAGAGGTTCACAGTAGGATGGCACTGAGGCTGGACAGACCGAAGGCCATAGGAATGACTCCAGGGGTGCCCCTCCCACAGACTTGCCATCTGTTAAACTTCCAGCCAAGGCACTGGTGCCCTAAAGCACACCACACAGTCACAGAGCTGTGACTGAGCTGCTGACTCATTGGTCTCTGTATCACCCCCACCTCACCACCTGCCTCAGTTCTCCTGAGAAGGGGGCAAGGTCAGGGGGTCCTCCGGCATGGACCTGCTCAGTCAAATATTCCCAGGCTTCCTTGCCTCATTGTCTGGATGGTGGATCATCTGCCAGCTACAGGGTTTACAAAGGGGCCTGTGAGTCCCACGGGTCTCTGAGGGCAGAGCACTCAGACAGGTAAAGCGCAGCCTCCAACCCCAAGGGTCACATCTTCAGGTAGGAACTCAGCAAGAGGTATGATGGCCAGAGCTGAAGCTGAGCCCAGGGGGGATTTTCTGACTCAAGACTGTGCCCAGAGTTGGGGTAGAAGCAGATAGGCAGGACAGACTGGGGACCCAGGTCCCCTCCTGCTCCCTTTCTCACCCATAACCCCCTAGCCCACCTTCCAGCTCCCCCTGCTTCATGATGGTGCGCTTCCCTGGAAGGACCCTCCCAAGGACCGTGAAACTGGCAGGGAATCACCCTAGACAGATGTCTAGGATAAGTCAGCTCCAGCTCCTAAGATAAGGCTGCCCTCCTGCAGCAATCCTGGGTCTGACCTTGAGACCCCAGCATGAATGAGCCATGCTGAGGTCCTACCTTCAAATCTCAGGAGTCACCCTGGGGCCTGCCGTGGCCAGGAAACCTGTCTCCCAGCACCTGCCCCAGCATTGCCCCTTCCCCACACCCTAGAGTGGCACCCTCCGATGGTCTGAGGGTTCTAAGAGCCAACAGGGTCTCAGTGGAGGCCCCAGCTCCCGACCTAGGTGCTCTAGGCTCCAGGAAGCAGACAAAGCTTAGAGACCAGAGCTCCTTTGTTTCCTGCCACACCCAGGGACACAGCCCAAAGGCTCAACCCACTACCACCCCACCTTCGGGCCGCCCAGCCCCTGCGGTTAACCCCTAGGAAGCCACAGCTGCCAGTGTGGACCACTAGGCTATTTTTAGCTGCCGCCCTGAGGGGTGGGAGCAGTGTCTCCATCATGGCGCAGCTCCAGGTCTGGCCTTCCACCCCATCAGGAAGCCGGGAGTGCAGAGCTGGGTTCATGTTTTTCTTCCACTGGAGGCCGCGAGGTGCAAAAACGCGATGCTGCAGGGGCCAGGCGCACCCTCCCAGTCCCCGCGATCCTCCTCGCGCGGCCGAGGGAGGGGGACTCGGACCCCGCGCCCCTCCCTCTTTTGTTCAGCTCCGCATCCTCCCGGCGGCCACGCCATCCTCAGGCACATCCCGTGGGGGGAGGGGGCTCCACGCCCGCGGGGAGAGGGACCCGAGGCTCCAGCCCCGCCCCGCCATGTGGGGCTCCCCCCGCATTGTCCCCGGAGGGGGGAGGGGGCGGCCACGGCGAAACCGGCCCCGCCCCACCCGCGGCAACGCAGGAACCCTCGGGCTTGCCCGTGCCGCCTCCCCCAGGGATCTGGACCCTGACAGCGACCACCCCACGCCACAAAGCACCGCGGCAGGGCGGGGGCGCTTACCGTGATGTGCGGGACGTTCTTCTTGCCCTGATGAGACATGGCCCCTCTGGCGCGCACCGCCTGGCCGCTGGACCTGGAGCTGTCTGGAGCGCTCCCCGGCTCTCACCCCGCCGCACTGCCCTCGGGCGCGGTGACAAAGGCCGGGGAGAGACGCAGAGAGGGCCCCGGAGGCTCGGTGCCCGCCGCTGCCCGCTCCCAGCCGCCCGGCTGCTCGGCCCGCCGCCGCCTCTCCGGCTGCCTGCACCGCCCGGCTCGGCAAGGAGGGCGGGAGGAGGGAGAGGCAGGGCGGGAGGAGGGCGCTGAAGACAGACAGCTCCTCCCGGCGGCGGCTGCCGAGCCCGATTCGCCCCTCTCGGCTCGAACCAGGAAACGCTTCCCTTCCGATCCCCCTACTCCGCCCCCGCCCCCCACCCGGCGACCCCCGCCCGGCGCCCTCGCCTGAGCCCCGGCCTCGCTCGCGCATCTGGGAGAATCTGCTTTTCAAGGTTCTTTCAAAGCAAGAAACAGCCTTAGGACGCGCAGGCGAAGACCTGTGGCAGCTCCACAGGTGTCTCCCTCTCGCTTCCACAACTTGAGTGCGGCGGGCAGTACCATCCCGCAGCAGCACCGGTCCTAATTGCGGGTAACATCCTTGGCCCACCAGGATCTCGCCCAGCGACCCCCTCCAAGGCCTCTATTTCTCCACTCCAAGAATGGGCCAAGCTCTTTTCCTTTCCAACATCCAAGTCTTCCCTCTGTACCCGCTGTTGAACAGATCACCTCAAAGGTTACTCATTCTCCCAGATCCATCCCTAGTGCCTTCTCCCTAAAGCCCCTCTTCTCCCTATCCTCGTCTCTGAGCCAGCCTTCTGAGCATGTCCTGGCAGAGGAAGTGCCCCAGAAGAAAACAGGCCACACATGGATGACTGCCTGTCCTGCTGGCTGCTGCTCTCTCCAGGCAGCGGCCTGGCCTTATGGCCCGGGACCTAACAGTGGGTGCTTGAAAAGCTAGGGCGCTGGCACCATGGTCTCCACAGACCCTGGGGACAGGCAGAAGAGAGAGGGCAGGGTGGGATGCTCCTGCCTCTCCGCTGAGTATTCATCGGGGATCTACAGTCCAGATGTTGCTCCCGGAAAGGTGGGCAGGAAACCTGGACACACAGTTTGCCAGACTTCACAGGGAAAAGACAAAGGATGGACGATGGAGCCCCAGCAGGCCAGTAGCAATGGGCAATGGCTGCCAAGTTCCTTACCAATGAGCTCATTTCCTGCCTGCAGAATCCCAACCCACTGACCCCCTACAAAGATCCACTCCTCCACTTCCACATTGCCATGGGCAGCTAGATGTGAAAAAGCCCCTGGTTCCTGGTTGAGGCCTGGAGTCGGCCCTCCTCCACCGCTGATGTCAGTTCCCTAGTCCACTGCAGGAGACCAGGTGGGATTGTGGGTTCATAAGAACAAGCTTGGTGGGACTGGAGAGATGGCTCAGCGTTTAAGAGCACTGACTGCTCTTGCAGAGGACCCAGGTTTGATTCCCAGCACCCACGTGGTGGCTAACAACTGTCCTTAACTCCAGTTCCAGGGGATCTGACACCTGACATCTGCGGGCATTGCACCACAGGAATGCACTTAAATACCCATGCAGGCAATACACTCATACACATTAAAAATAAGATAAACATAATTAAAAAAAAAACAAACAAGATTAAAATGTATTCCAGGAACACCAGGCTACGATTTCCCCTTTTGTAGATGGAAAACTGAGGCTTGCAGAGGTAAAATGACCCTCCTGGGGTCAAAACGCATTAGCTATGGCAGGCGGAGTCTGGAAGCCACATCCCGGCAGGCTCTGTCTTCATTAAGCTTGGCCTCTGGGCTGGGTCCTAAATTCTCATTAATGACCGGAAACTGCGAATGGGAAGAGCATCCTTCCAACTGATTCCTAGATTCCCTTCCTAGGCGCCCGGGCATCCCCAGGGTTCTGGGAAGGAAAGCTAAAGAGATGGGACAGGACCACGTTCGTGTCACGGGGAGGAGCCTTGTTCCCGACTGTCCAAACAGATCTACGGCCCCAGGCAGACTTCCCCGGTACAAAGCACCGCAGCCCTGGGCCTCCGGTAGCGGCAGACTTTGCGCCTGCGCTGTTAGAAACCCCTCCTTCTTCCCAGGGAAGAGCCTCATGGGCGGGGGAGGGGCCAGGGCACCCTTTGCCAGGCACAGGAATGGTGAGGCCCGCCTTGAATCCAAAGCACAGCCCTCTGCAACCCAGGTTCTGAGGTCTCTGGGCCAGTAGAAAGCAAAATGCTCCTTCGAGCGGGGCCGCCAGTCCTCTGCTCCACAGTCCCCACCAGGGAATGCTTTCAAAGCCCTTGGCATGTATCAGGCTCCACCTTTTGTCAGGTCCCTAAGAAGTCAGAGGAAAAGGGCAGAGGGGATCCGGGTGGGAAGAAGATCACAGGAGCTGGTGAAGCGACCGGCGTCCAGAAACCCCAAGGCGGGGCTCTCCGGCCTGCCCTGGCAGAGTCCGGGACAAATCTGGCATTGATGCCCCTGACGACCGCTGCTGAGCCAAGAAAGCGCCTGGGAACAGGTCCGGGCCAGGCACAAAGAGCTCTTGCCTCCCAGTTGCTAGGTATGCGCTAACTAACGGAGGCCGAGAGCAGGTGGCCACCCCGGTGTCTCAGACGCAGACACTGAAGTTACAGAGTGAAACACTTAGGTGGTTCCCAGGTGGTGGCTGTGAGCCCTGCAATGGGCTGGGGAGCCTGAATCCCAAACGAGGGTGGACTACCGGGGAGAGGAGGGTGGCAGGAGGAGATGAAGGAGTGGGGAAGCAGAGACTGGACTCTTGCTATTTCCGCCCTCACCTGCCCCCACCCCCTTAGACGCTCTTACTAGGCCTCCCGCTCCCAGGCCCTAGATTCAGCACCGCGGAGAGCTCCCAAGCTGGTGAAAGCCACTGACCTAGGACCAGGCAAAAGGACACCACAAGCAGGCTGGCCCAACCCCTTCTCCAGGACGCCTGCCCAGATTCCGTCCGGTTCAAACCCTGCCTCCCTCTGAGTTCACTTTACGCCTCCCATAGCATTTAACGGGAAGAGTTCATTAAAACGATCCGGTAATAAAACAACACCAAGCATTTGTTGAGCACTCTCTGCCAGTACGAACTCACTTAATTCTTGCAGTGAGTCTACAGCCCGCACAGCCTCAGAACTCCTGGAGGGTGGGGCCAGGCTGCCTAGCCAGGCAAGGCAGCGCTCAAGCTGCTTCCAGCACTCCATGGCTCCAACTTCCCTTGCCCAGGCACATGGCTCTGACCTCACCCACCCATCTCAGGACTCTGAGGTCCATCCATCCCTGTCCCTCAGTAAACCTTAGTTTAGGAAAGAAAACCCACAGGCCCTAAGCCCCGGCTTTGCTTTTCCCTGATGTTTCTCTTCACTTCCAGAGGAAAAGAGGCCCCAAGTTGGGGAGGACAGGCACTGGGTTCAAATCCCAGCCTCCCCAACCTCCAACTGCACTGTTGTGCCAGGATTCAGGAGAGCCCCTGGAAGATTTCTAACTGCCCACCATCTAAACCCTAACTAACCCACCCCAAGGAAGCAAAGAAGGGAACACCCGGGAAAGGCGGCTAGCAGCTGCTTAAGCAGGGGCATTCGCCAAACCTCTCCCCAGCCGGCTATAAAGTAAGCGGCCCCCCATCACCGAGTGAGTGCATAACTGCGGGAACGGAGCTCCCTTTTCACAGAACCCAGAGTGAGAGACTAGGGTTAAATTCTTCCCAGGGGTCTCTTTGCTTCTGGAGAGTCCACTGGGCACCCACAGCAACTTACTTCCTTTCCAGAACCTGGCTGTCCCTTTCTGGACCGGGAAGGTCCCTCCGGAGTCCATGGACTATGCCGGCCCACCCCGGCCGAGTGCACAACCTCTCTGAACCTCTTTTAGGGCGGAGTGGGGGAGGGGCCGCTGTAGCCGCCCGAGGTGACATTGGGTCCAGGCCCTCAGGCGGCCCCGGTCCAGGGTCTCCCAGGACCCCGCCCCGCACGTCCTGCCCACGTGCCCTGAGGGTACCTGGCCATTGTCCCGGCCGAGCGGCAGGTCGCGGGGCGCGGGGCAGCGGATGCGCAGCGCCGGCGGTCTGTCGTCGCGATCGCCGGGCGAGCTGACCGCAGAGCCCGAGGGCTCGCTCACGTCGCTGGCCGTGTCCTCGCTGCCGCCCGGGCCCGGCAGGCCCACGGCGTCGGGCCGGCCGGCGCT